GAAATCTGCATACCCATCAAGCCGTTTCCTGTTAGAGTGATGTGCAACATGCAGAATTAAGCTAATGGAATTTTTGTTTTGAAAAAAAAAAAAATTACCTACCTTTTATTGCATAAAATGGGAGAATTGTTGAAAATTTGGCAATTTTTGAATTTATGCAAAATACAGTTGTTTCCTTTGTTTTTTCTTTCTGTTGTAAAATTCTGCTTTCCATATACATAGGCATTTATTTATATTTAACAGGGCTGTAGAATGCTTATCACTCAATTTCAGAAGTAGGTGCACAAACAGCATTTGTCTGCAGCCCTTTAAAGTAACTGTGTCTTTTTCACAGATCATGAAATTAAGCTAACTACCGCAGAACATACTATGAGGTAATAAAGTGTTATTACCACATTATTGTGGTAATACCACAATATTTTCATAACAAGCAGTGTAAGGAAATTCCCTCCCCAAAATTTTTAAAGAAATTTCTTAAAGTTATTTTGGTTGCATATTTTATTTAAAATTCTATAACTATCTCATTCAAATCTGAGATATTTTCAACTTTGCATATTCTGGCAACATCACCATTAACCATGTTGCTCAGAAGCCCTTCGATATTTGTTGATGTTGTTAGTCGCGAAGTCATGTCTGACCCATCGCGACCCCATGGACAACGTTCCTCCAGGCCTTTCTGTCCTCTACCATCCTCTGGAGTCCATTTAAGCTCATGCCGACTGCTTCAGTGACTCCATCCAGCCACCTCATTCTCTGTCGTCCCCTTCTTTGCCCTCAGTCTTTCCCAGCATTAGGTTCTTCTCCAGTGAGTCCTTCCTTCTCATTAGGTGGCCAAAGTATTTGAGTTTCATCTTCAGGATCTGACTTTCTAAAGAGAAGTCATGGTTGATCTCCTCTAGGATTGACCAGTTTGCTCACCTTGCAGTCCAAGTGACTCGGCAGGAGTTTTCCCAGCACCATAGTTCAAAGTCCTCAATTCTTTGGTGCTCAACCTTTCTTATGGTCCAACTTTCACTTGACTATATGTACTTTTGTTGGTAGGGTGATGTCTCTGCTTTTAGTATGATGTCCAGATTTGCCATAGCAAATTTAAATTTAAATGCTATATAGTATTTGCTTCTCATCTAAGAAAACACATTCTTTTCCACTCAAGCCTCCCTCCTTTAAGATGCAGTTCCAACCCAATTCTCATTTTACTCATTGTTTAACAACTGCTTTGTAATTATTTGTACAAAACATTGTTTTAGTGTTAAAGGTACGCAAATGTTTCATTATTTTTTAGGGTTTCTCCCTCACTTTTTCTAATTTTATTGTTTTCCCTTCTTTTTTAGTCTCTCTTAGTACTGCTTAACTTTTTAGGTATATAAAATACTTAACAGTTTATATAAAATACATTTTCTTCTTTATCAATGTTCTTTGGATTGCTTGTATTCTTACTCGCACTAATTGAATGTTTAACTGTATTGATTTAAACTATAATAAAATCCCTACCTTTCAAAAGAAGACCACAGCAATAAGAAAAAGCCCAATTGTTACTGGCAACATTCCCATGTCAGAAAACAACATATGTTTTGCACAACTTGCTTTTTTGAAATAATCCTCAACATTAGCTACGAAATGTAACCACAGAAAAGAAATAGAATCCAGTTATAAAACCAAGACACCAATGTTTTAATGATATTATTGCATAACATGATAAAACAAAGAGAGATGGATGGGTGGGCATCACATTTATTAGTACAGCTCAAGAATTGACAACTTGTTTTTCACTTTACTCTTTGTGGGTCTTTTCATAGAAATCTGGAAAGCCTTTAAAGCAATTTATTTTAAAAAAAACAAGATGAAAGAACTGACACATTTATTACCGTAAAATTGCAAGACAGAAGTTAAACAAAATACCCAGATTATTCACATTTTAAAAAGTGATTTCCCTAAGGCCACAAAAGGAATTTAAAAGGCCAAGAATAAAGTTGGAAGAACAAGCGTTGGGCATTTAAACTAGAATGTGATCTTGGGTAGAAATTGTACACTACAAATTGTATTTCCCAGCCTCATCTGAGTAGAGCTATAGCAATTACAAAGGATTATGCCAACAGCATAGATATCATATAAGATTTCAGGTCAAACTTTTCCCTATTTGCTTGTTCCAATATTAGAACTTATACATAGTTCAGGGTTCAACTGTTGGGTTCCTGGTGAAGTGAGCTTTCTTGTGGACAATTCAATACCAGGATAGGATGTATGTATCCCTGGTGCATATGGCACTAATGAGAATGGCAGGGGCCATTCTCACATGCACTGATGATGTTACCCAACATACTAATGACATGTCTGCAAGAATACCCTCTTAACACCAAGAACTCAAAAGTACTGTAGAGAATAAAGATGACTTTGATAGAGATGTGCAAGTCCCATTGCGAGGACAATGAACAGTAACACATATTTGAACTCCACAACAGGCAGATAATATTCAGAAGAGACTCAGACAGAAAACTTTCTAATTCTCTGAACTGTTAAATGGGAAGAAAAGGTTTAATGTAAATAGACTTGCAAGATTCTGTTATTATAGTTTTAGCCTTCCCAATGTTTTGGCGGTCTGGTTTGGTCTATCTCAGGGGTTAGCAACCCGTGCCTCTGGAGCCGCATGTGGCTTTCATTCCTCTGCTGCGGCTCCGTTGCTCAAAATATGTGTCACCACTGCCAATGAGGGCGCTCAGAAAATAGTCAGCTACGGAAAGGGTTTTGAGGCTCCCGGTGTTTTCTGTGGGAAACGGGTCCAAATGGCTCTTAGAGTGCTTAAGGTTGTCGATTCCTGGTCTGTCTAGTGGACAAGTATCTTGCATCATTCATGTACTTTCAGCAGTCCCATTCTTATTTCAAGGCTGTCTAAATCCTACAAGAAGGAAATGTTTTTCTTCTTTTTTTTCAATGCTTAGGGAAGCAGCAATTTCAGGCAAAGCACAGGACCATACTTCATTATAATAAAGCTACTTTGGGCTGATCTTCATACATACATCCGAACGGCATCAACAAATAGTTAATGATTACCAATTCATCACATTATGCTAAACTATTGTTCTATGAACTGTCACTGACTGACTGCAATCCTGGCTTCACAGTACACACGACCAAAATCAAAGATACATTTTAATGTTGTGATGTGTGAACCCAGTCAGTGATCGGACTTTCACTGCTGCCAATTTAATATGCTTATAGCATTTGGCAGTTAAGCAATCCACGGTGAACATTAGGCCTCTGCAGCATTGCAGATATAAAACGCCACTTCAGGGTGTACACGAAGCGTTTATTTTCCTATGACTGCCAACAACAAAGATAAAGGTTTCCCCTTTCCAGTCGTGTCTGACTCTAGGGGTGCTGCTCATCTCTGTTTCTTAGCTGAGAGAGCCAGTATTGTCCGAAGAAAATTTCTGTGGTCACGTGGCCAGCATGACTATATGCCGAGGTGCACGGAACACTGTTAATTTCCCACCGAAGTGGTACCTATTTATCTACTTTCATTTGCATGCTTTCGAACTGCTAGGTGGGCAGGAGCTGGGGCAAGTAACAGGAGTTCACCCATCACGTGGCATCAGCAGTGGGATTCAATTATTTTTACTACCGGTTCTGTGGGTGAGGCTTGGTGGGCGTGGCAGGGGAAAGATACTGCAAAATCTCCATTCCCTCCCCACTCTAGGGGAAGGTTAGGGCAAAATGCTCATTTCCTCCTAATCAGCTGGGACTCGGAAAGCAGAGGAGAGATGGGAGCAGGGCCAGTCAGAGATAATATTTACCGGTTCTCCGAACTACTCAATATTTCCACTACCGGTTCTCCAGAACTGGTCAGAACCTGCCAAATACCACCTCTGTGTGGTGCTCAAGCCTCAAACCTTTCCAGCTGACAAGCTCAGCTTTTTTAACCACTAAGCCATTATGCCTACCAATAGAATTGGATGACTATTAACGACACCTACTACTAGATAAAGTAGAAGAATGTGGATTAGATAACATCACCACGAGATGGATTCGTAACTGGCTGACCAACCGCACTCAACGTGTAGTCCTCAATGGAACTGCATCTACATGGAGGGAAGTATGCAGTGGAGTACCCCAAGGCTCTGTTTTAGGCCCAGGACTCTTCAACATCTTCATCAATGATTTGAATGAGGGAATAAATGGGGAACTCATCAAATTTGCAGATGACACCAAGCTGGAAGGAATAGCCAACACTCCAGAAGGCAGGCTTAAGATACAAAAGGATCTTGACAAACCTGAACATTGGGCACTATCTAACAAAATGAAATTCAATGGTGAAAAGAGTAAGGTTCTACATTTAGGCAAGAAAAACGAAATGCACAGGTACAGTATAGGTGGTACCTTGCTCAATAGTAGTAACTGTGAGAGGGATCTTGGAGTCCTAGTGGACAACCATTTAAATATGAACCAACAGTGTGCAGCAGCTGCCAAAAAAGCCAACACAGTTCTAGGCTGCATAAACAGAGGGATAGAATCAAGATCACGTGAAGTGTTAATACCACTTTATAAGGCCTTGGTAAGGCCACACCTGGAATACTGCATTCAGTTTTGGTCGCCACAATGTAGAGAAGATGTGGAGACCCTAGAAAGAGTGCAGAGAAGAGCAACAAAGATGATTAGGGGACTGGAGACTAAAACATGAAGAACGGTTGCGGGAACTGGGTATGTCTAGTTTAATGAAAAGAAGGACTAGGGGACACATGATAGCAGGGTTCAATATCTCAGGGGTTGCCACAAAGAAGAGGGAGTCCAACTATTGTCCAAGGCACCTGGAGGTAGAACAAGAAGCAATGGGTGGAAACTAATCAAGGAAAGAAGCAACTTAGAACTGAGGAGAGACTTCCTGACACTGAGAACAATTAATCAGTGGAACAGCTTGCCTCCAGAAGTTGTGAATGTCCCAACACTGGAAGTCTTTAAGAAGATGTTGGATAGCCATTTGTCTGAAATGGTATAGGGTTTCCTGCCTAGGCAGGGGGTTGGACTAGAAAACCTCCAAGGTCCCTTCCAACTCTGCTATTGTATCGTATTGTATTGTAAGTTACAGCGATGCTGAACGAGGAGACTTAAGACCAGTCCTCAAAGTTCCAACTGTAACAGTATTCCCATGGTCACATGATCATATTTTAGGGACTTGACAAACTTCTCCCAGTTATATTGCAGCATCTCACAGCCACTTGATTGCCATTTGCAACCTTCATGGCTGGCTTCTGACAAAGTCAATGGGGAAGCCAGTAGGTAGTTGAAAATGGCGATCATGTGATGTCATTGCTTGAGGACTGTGAGAGATTTGCTTAACAAATGGCACAACTGCCATTGGTTAAGTTGGCATAGTCATGTAATGCCATGCTTTACAACTGTGTTACTTAGTGGCAAAGTTGCCAGTCCCAATTAGTTTTGTTAAGCAAGGACTACCTATATAAGTGCAAGGCACTAAACTCAGAAGATGTCATTGTGGGTCTTGACTTTCAAGCTGGTTTGGTGAAGCAATGCAACTAGAAGAACACCACTCTTACAGAAAGGTGCATCTTACAACTTTAATCCAAACTACAGTTTTCAATTCTTTGTTAGAAGCATTTGTCTGTTTTTGTGAAATCATTTGCAAGAAGGGAATTTTTAACAAATCATCAGTAACTGTTTGAACTGCTGCCCAAGTGGGGTGGGTGGGAGATGGGAAAATTTGAAGGTGGGTACAAATTGGATCAAGAGGTTCCTTGCATGGAAGAGTGTAATAAAATCTAAAATTCTCAGTGTAGTCAAGATTCACAGCTATGAAACTATTCTCCAAACTATTTTCAAAATAAGCAGATCCATTTTTGTCACCAATGACAAAAAGTGAACACATAGTAGAAATTAAAACAATTATTTGCTAACAAACCAGCCAGGAGAATCTTGCCTTTATGTAATTTATGTAATCTCCACCCAAGATGTCCACGAGACATTTTTGGCTGAAAATTTGGGGAGTTGAACCGGGTTGGGGAAGATGGACATAATAAAAAAATTACGTGACTCAATGAAGGCAACTGGGCTGCCCACAGTTAAGATTGTAACATGAAGAGGAACAAAACAAAATAAAATATGGTTTGCACATGTCACATAAAATTATCTGCAGACAAGGGGACGTTTCAAATATATTAGTATCTCTTCATATAATTATGCTGACGAGTTGTCCGAGGCAATTCCAGATTCTTTTATGATTCCCGTTTCAGAAGTACATATGCCCCCATGACAGCTAAGAGGGCATACTGTGAAAAAAGCAAACACATGGAACATTACTGCGTGTGGGCACCACGTTTCATAGCAAATCTCATAAACGAAATCTGTTTTTGAGGAACGCGATTTGCAACTTTTCCAGATGGCTTCTCCAGAAAGTCGATGGGGAAGCCAGCGGAGAAGGTAGCAAATCACTGGTCTCCCCCATCTAGTACCATCGTCCTACACTTATGCCATGCTTAATCATTCATACACACCCTGACTTGCTCTCTATCCCCACGCAACGTCCCTGATCTGCACAGTGCCGCTTGTGCGCCCTCCTGTACCCTCCACAACTTTTTCCTTTTATATACCATCTCTGACCTGCATGACACCTCTTGTACACTCCTGGCACCATTGCCTACCCATGCCACATCTCCCATGCACCCTCCCTGATCTGTGCCTCTTATACACCCCATCATATCCTCTACGACCCTCACAAGCATCTCACAAACCCCGCCTCTGACCACCAGTGTCTCTTAGGCACTTCCTCACACCTCCCATGATCTGCACCTCCCACCCACCGCCCCAACTTATGTGTGACACAAATTTCTCCCAATCCGTGTAGTGCCTCTCACACACACCCTGGCACCACCTCCCATGTTTCTCCTTGCATATTGGTGCACCCTCCCAGACTTTCTTCAACCTACGCAGCACCTCTTGTGCACCCTGCATTCTTGTGCATTCTCTCCAATCCACATCTTTTACATCCTCAATGAGCTACTGACTCTCACACCCCCTTCAGTAAACTAGCTTCAAATTGCTGACAATGTGCAAAACTGGCTACGTTCTCCTCCAATTGATTTGTTTAATTATTAAATTAATATACAGCCTGACTCCTATCATCCCTTTTGGTCCCTCCAGAGGGGTTGAAAATATGACTCCCATAATTCTCAGCCCAAAAGAGGAAACTATGTGAATGGTAAATGTGAATCAAGAGGAC